AGAGATAATCTTCGATTGGAGTGGGATGGAAGAGACTCTGCTCAAATGGCTCTTGTAGAGCAGAGGGATTGATCTGTTCCCGCCGAGCACACACAGATCCTCGAGACATTTATCTGATATCTCAGTGCTTAGTCCGTCTTCATGTTCTCTATGTCAACAGTGTCCTTCATTCGATCTGCTACATCAATCAGAAACTTTCCAGCTCCCAGTTGTCTTGTCAGTGCATTTTCTCAGTTTGCTGCTCTGGAGCATATCAGTGCTGCAGTGTGTCATTATGCAAAATTGTCATCCACACCTGCAACTCACTAGATTGAACTAATTGCACCGTCAGCTGCATCCCTCACTCACACTTGTATCATCAGAAATTCCTCTGAAATCGGAGTCAGTTAATACCAAATACCACAAATATAATGTTTACACTAACCTCCAGTAAAAAACAAAATTGCACAGTTACACAGCAATATCTGTTTAAAGTTGAGCGTTAGTTACCATAAACAACTGGTCAAACCAGACTAACTAAATGTGTGACAGAAACGTGTATTGTATCAAGCAATGGTGCATTTAGTTGCTAATAAATTCCATTTACCTTTGTAGAAGTAATACTCTATAATGTATTTCTTGCTCAGTTTAAAATGGCACAGGAAAAACTGCACTTTATGTTCGTGCTTCTATGAAGGTGTGCGCAAGTAGTTGTAATCCATAACATCAAATATGCACATTTATTGACTGATGCAACCTCCTTTCTCCATTGGCATTAATGCAACAACATAACCCTAACCACAACAAAAAGCTGAGGTCTACACAAAGCACAATCACAGTTTTGGATGACTGGCTTTTAACCATAATGCTTTCAAGATTAGATTGATTCAAACATGCTTACCGATAGCTTTTAAACCTTGCAAACTTGCCTCTTTTTGAATCAATTAATCTGGTGAGGAGTACAACTTAGAAACAAATGTGGAAAATAGGCAACTGATTATCCCTTACATTTTGAAATCTCCTCAAATTGCTTTAAATGTTAATGAGGTACCTTTAAACACCCACATTAGATTGCAAAGTAATCTTTTCGTGTGCTGGCCCATGGGATACAATCTTCTCTTGCTTTGTTGAAATTGCACTCCTGTCAGATTGTGCTGCAGTAGGCATTAACCGAAGATCCAGTACTTTGCATTTGTGTCTGAAGCGGTGTCCCTGTGTTTGTCTGCACATGTGCTCTTGAGAATCTGTCTGTGTCTCTCTCAGGCTGAGAGTCTGCGTATAATAGCTGGACACTTCTGTCTTCGTTCTCAAGGTAGTACATGGGTAAACAGAGATAGCTGGTCCCAGTCAGGGCTGCGATAACGACAGTGTCTCAGTGTGTGTGTGTGTGTGTGTGTGTGTGTGTGTGTGTATTTGTGTGTGTGTGTGTGTGTGTGTGTGTGTGTGTGTGTGTGTGTGTGTACGAGAGATTGTAATGCGTAATGTGTATTTTTTTTCTTTTTAATTAGATGAGTATGAGACAGAAAATGACTGAAAGAGTTGGATAAATTAACGGTAAAGCTGCTCTGCTTGTCTGAGATGTGAGTGAGTACAGCTGCCACTCCCATCTCTGCCTCATTTTCACTTTCTCCCTCGCTTTCTCTCTCCCGACCGCCCACCTCCTGTCCCCTGCTTGCCATCTCAAATCTTATTTCCTGTTGGCCTGTCTTCTATCCATGCCTGCTCTGTGTCAGTGTATCAGACTAATTCAATATCCAGTGCACAGGCACACCAATGTAATGACCCATGACATTCAATTAACTCTTCCCCCTTTCCTGGGTTGGTTTGGTCAGCGGTTATTTGCTGCGTTTGCGTGTATGTACGGTGTGTGAATCGAGGAGTGGGTGCAAGTTTGAATTAGAAATAGCTTGGTAGCCATTGTACCCATAATCTATATACCATAACATGCTGTGTTTGCAGAAATTGCAGTTTTCTCTGAGTGATTGTTGTGAGTTTTGGAAATGTTACAACAACGTGGACCATTTATTTGAGTTCCCACATCTCTACTTCAAAGAACCCCCCCAAAAAACGGTATACATTTGGTTGAGGTTTCCACGCTGATGGCAAATGAAAACTGGCTGTCAGTATGAGCTTATTGACTATACTTTCATTATTCCTGTCTTCCGGGCTTCGCATTAGCAATGTCGTTGCCTCTCGACCAGCTGCCATGATTATTGGATTGGTGTTGAGTGATTACGGCATGTCATTTATGGGGTTATTATGTGCATGTGGTAGACTGTTCAAGACACACATATATCAACATACTGCAAGCAATTGAAGCGCACACACACTGAAAAAAACACTGACAGAGTGACTAAAATGATGCCGGCACACACACTCTTCCGACACACATACCCACGGCTACCTTAGCCTTCTGTAGCCTTCTGTAGCCTGTATTTGGATAAGCTGAGCCTTTATGAGCTTTTGCTCATAGTCATTATGACTGTAATCCAGAATGGATCATGCATCATCAGGGGCTTCCAATCTTTAATCAATAGCCTAACATGGATCATTTACAACTTACTGTGCTGTTACAGCTAACACATAAAAATGTGTGCTTTTTCATTGAATTGTTAACAGACATGCTATCGCTCATCATTTATGGAAAATGATCCATACAACACTGCTGAAGTTTACCAAATTCAATAGGATTATTTTGTTGCCCTGAGGCCTTTCATTAGTCAAAAAAGCAATGAAAGTGATTTTAATTAAAAAGGAGGATACTTAAAAAATGTTTACATCACTGTGGGGAAGGTTAGGTCAACTGTTGTCTGGCAGTTCTTTCAAGTAACTTTTTTTCCACATCCTCCCTTCTGTCACTTACTTTGTGCTTCACATATTCTCCGCTCTTTATCTATTCTTCCTTTTCTCCTCCCTGCCTTTATTTTTAAAGTTTCCCATGTTTCTGTCCCTTTTCCATTCACTCCAACTCTACCTCTGCCTCTCCGTTTTGGTAATGATCTAATTAAGAAGGGTTTTGTTGCCTGCCCCCTGTGTATAATTGCCAGTGGGGTCTGCCTGTACCTCACTCAGCAATTACATGCAGCATTCTTCTGCTCCCAGATCGGCTAATTAAGCCTTTAAGGACAGCAAGCCGATTGTAGTCGCATTCATTGTCAGGAGGAGTCAGGAATGCCTATGCTCTCCTGACTCCAGGGGCTAATAGTGAATTGAAGTATGGTTACCATGGTTACAATCACATGGTGTCAGATTCTGTGCATAGGCTGTCAGTCAGTTCATTTTTATACGTGTGTAGATATCTGTTCATCAGTAAAAGAGACAACATTTCAGCCCCAGGTCACCAGTTTGTTTCATTATTAGGGCTCTATCTATGAAGACGGTATAGGGGCCAAGTACAGCTGGTCACAGTTCCTGTTTAAGCTGCTTGCTGGACTGGCTGTCATTTTGATTGATTGCATTGCCGGCTCATGCAATCCTTGCTTTGAAATAAACCTACTCAGCATTTACTGGAGCCGGTATCGGTTCAGTTAAAAGTTTCTTTAGAAGAAAGAACTGAACTGATACACAGAAAATACCAAATGGTTTGTCCAGAGTCTTTATGCATTTGACATTTCTTTTGTATCACAAACGGTTGTCTGGAATTTCATGTTCTGATTCTTTTGCCTCAACAAAACAGCCACTTCAACTGGAAAAAGTGTTGCTCTAAAGACTGTTTTTTTAACATATTCCCCCTAGAACTTTATCTTCTTTGACTGTTAAATTGATACCAAATAGGAAAGAAATTGACAAATGACAGAGGAAACACTGCTACACATACCTGCACTGTGGCAACTATTAGCATCACAATAGAACATCAGTTATAATGTAGTTAGCAACATCTAACTCAGGGGCATCCTAACAAATGATGCATTAAAGCATCCTTCTGTTGTGCCTGTTTCAATAAATATGCTGCACAATTAAATACTGTTGTATACCACCTAGGGAAATGTAAATGCTGATTAACATCTCACATCTTGAAGTTTGAATTCAATAATTTGTTAAACCAGAGCTTCCGTTCATTGTGCGATATGATTTCTTCATGGCAGACATTTTTTTGACAACATTTGCATGGAAATTGCAAAAATAGTTTGTACCTATTTGCTTGAGTCTAAAAAATGACATTTTCCCCCCAGGGCTCAAGTGTTCATTTAAAATGGAACCTTCTCCAAGGGGAACAAATGATACACAGTGGCACCAAATGGAACGTGTTTCCTTTCTCTCGGCCCGTCCAGGGTTGTGTCGACAATTAAATATATTTTAAAGGTCTGGCTTAGCAAGGCAAATTAAATAAGGTTAATGGATACAATAGTGCTGCTTTTCCCCTCATTGTACCATTAATATTTGCTGTTGTTTGGTATAATGTGTTGCTGAGACTGCAACATAATTAACTGCATATTTACCTTTGTTATAACATTTAATGTCATAGCTGCATATTAGCCATTCATTATAATGCTTTTCCTCTCCTCACCATAACAATTTGGGCAGTTATAACTGGTGCCCTGATGTATACTTCATTGTATCATTTGCTGTGTTTTGTTGTCTTTGTCTTTAAAGTATTACAGGGTTAGTATTACATTTGACATAATGTTGCAGGGTTTACCTAAATACTGTTACACATCTCTTAGATAAGTTACAATCTTAGAGAAGTTACAACACATGTATTGTTGTGTACACGTATTTCACATATGTTGTACCCTTTTGTCCCTGGCAACCAAGCCTAGGCTGAAGTATGGTTTTGCGTGGCTTATTGAAAATCTTTACTCAAAGAGGCAAATGATTGTTGTGTTTTGTCTTTGAGTTACATTTGGAGGCCAATTTATTTCAACCAAAATAAACATTCTGGCCATTTCAGGGTGCATTTTCAAGAGCCTTATCCAAAATGACCAGACACTCCAAGATGGCAGAATGATGACTTACAACAATGATGGATAGATTTGCTATATTTTACAACAATCTTTAACAAAGATTTCTGTTTTGTGTAGGCTGCCAGATCCAACCGTGGCATAGTCGATGACTGAGAACTCCTATTCCCATGATGGACAAGAAAAGTGGTGAGTTTTTAAACACACAATCCCCTTACATCCCCAAAATGTAACTTGCCATGTATTTTTCTGACCAAAATCAGTGAAGGGTTTATTGGCTAAAGGTGATAGCTGTCCAGCCTTATATTTTATTCCAAAGTTAACACAGCATGAGCAGCATTTTGCATATTGATTGTTTTGTTTTTACACAATCACAGCATGATAATTACTTCCCAGTAATTGATATGGTAATACATAATGAAGCAACAGTGTGCATCTCAGGACAGACTGTCTGAACAAGTGGGTGCAAAGGAATAATAATGATGACTATAATTTGTGATTTGATACAGGCTCATTTCATCAAGCCATTGCACATTGCTTTAGCAAATCATAGTCGTGAAGTTTCCATTATTGTTATTGTCAATTTTCTTATAGTAGGGGAAGGATTCTTTGATTAATTGTTCATTCCTTACAGCCAACGGCTTTCAGACCAAGGCCAGTGAGGGTGGTGTTCAGAGGAAGCAGCTGCCCTACTCAGTGGAAACTCCCTATGGCTTTCACCTAGACCTGGACTTCCTCAAGTATGTTGACGACATTGAAAAAGGCAACACCATCAAAAGGGTCCACATTCAGCGAAGGGTCAAGGGCCCAGCCAAATTCAGTACTCTGCCCAGAAATTTCAGCCTTCCTGGGCATGGAGCCAGGCCAACCCCCAGAGAAAAGGATAGCACATGGTCTGGGACGTCCACCCTTGGGCCCAAACCTAAATCACGGGTGACAGAGGTCCAACAGATCTATGACTTTAGAGCAAGTGAAGGGGGGAAATCCAGTCAGAGCAGCAGGGGGACAAGCAGTCAGGGAGCTGTCTATGTTTCAGAAAAGCCCAAAGATGAATCAGGAGCTGGGGCCCTGGCTGTTGAAGAGAAAACTGTCGGGTTTCAAAGTCGTCCTAATCTGCTCAGAGCCTCAAGCATGCCTATCACTCTACAGCAGCGGAAAGGCTCGGATTCAAGCAGTCCAGACCGTAATGTGGGAACACCGGAAAGTGGCTCGACAGAAAACATGTTTCGAGCTTCACCGGACATAACAGACAGGCGGTCTCTTCCTCAGGATCGGGGAGGGCTTCACCAGCAGATCACAGTGGCACTGAAGCGGGTCAGAGAGCTGGAAGAGCAGGTCAAAACAATCCCTGAACTAAAGGCCCAGATCAGTTCACTGAGAAAGGAGAGGGAGGATCTTATGATTCAGATCCAAGCCCAGATCCAAGCCCAGGCCCAAGCCGAAGCCCAGGTTTCCACATCGTCCTCTATCATAGCATCACATTCAGATTCTGGGACACACTTTCAGGCACAGGGACAAAGACCTACAGAAGGGCTCAACTTAGCTCTGACGACTCAACCCACTGGAGGTTTAGATGCTTCAGAGCGTTTGTCAACAAAGTTGGTAACTGGGAAAGGGAAACATGGGGCTACAGAGACACATACAGTCTTACTAAAGGAGGGAGCATTACATCAGGAATCTTTGAAGAGTTCCTCAGCACATGTAGAAATCAGTGGGTTGTTAGAGCAACAATCACAGATACAAACACAACAGACATTCGAGAGTCCGATTAAGCACGCAGTGCAAAAGCTATCGCGGGATATTGCAGGACCAGAATTAACATCACTTAGATTGGCTATAAAAGATGCAGAGACTAGCAGTATTGGCGATGGGGATGAAGCAAAAGGTGGACAACAGGAGGACGCAAACAGTATGCCGAATCTGCAGGAGAAGCTAATGATACTCGAGGCTAAACTTACTCAGGCTAGCCAAGACCTGGAGAGAACTAATACTCTTTTGAAAGAACAAATAGATGAGAACAAGGTAAAAGAGGAGAAAATACTACAACTGAGTGATGGAGTGAGAGTGGAGTTGTACAGTCCAGAAGCCTACAGCATGCCAAGACGAGAAAGTATTGACACAGGGACAGAGACAGAAAAGTTAGATGTTGCCAACCAAGAGACAGAGACAGAATTACCTGGTACGGTAGATAAGGGGACAGATACAGATAGAATTCGTATTGAAATTAGTGTACCCCAACCAATGGCTGTAAGTATAGATCAAGGAACAGAGAGTATTCAAGTTGACACACCTGAACAGGTAACACAGATGGTGGAAGAAGCGCCTGCTGTGAGCCCACCCAGACCCAGAGCCAACAGCATCGAACGGGGCACAGTAACTGAAAGGATTGCTACTCAAGATCAGATGACTGAGACGCCTACAGCGGAAAGGGTAAACCAAGTCACAGAAACCGAGGAAGAGATAGAAACAGACCATCCACAGAGACCAAGGGCCAGCAGCGTAGAGAGGGGTACAGTGACAGAGAGAGTGGACACTGTCGACAGGGTGACCGAGACAGTGGAGGCACAAAGGACAGACCAGCAGACTGAGACAGAGATAGGAAGACGACAGGATAACAATCCATCCAGAGGTGCAGAAGCAGAAAGTCAAGTGAGAGAATGTGCAGGTAGTGAAAGAGTAGAACATGCAGACACTGTGGTCATTGAAAGAGTGGAAGACAAGGAAGCAAATGAAAGAAGAGACAGTGGAGACAGTGAAAGTGTGGTAATGAAAGTTGTCACTGAGATTTCAATTACAGCTAAAGAAAGCACAGCTGAACAAATTCTAGTTCTGAATATTGTTAGTGAGGATGAAGGAAGTAGCAATCCACCTGTTGCAGAAATAGAAAATACAGAATCCAAGATTGAAATGATTATGGCACAGAATGACTCAGAAATAAAGGAAATGGAGCCCCTAAATAATGAAGTAACAGAAATAATTGAAACACAACAGGTTGCACCGGAGATTGTAGAGGAGAAACAAATAAAAGAATATGTGATTGTGAGCGCAACAATCAAAGAAACTGTGGTCCCTGACACGGTTGTAGTAGCAGCAGCAGAGAATGAAGCTGTAAAGGCAGTAGTTCCTGTCCGACCCCAGAGAGGCCGAAGGCCCTCAGCGGAGCAAGCACAGCCATCACCTCCATCACCTCCTCAACCTCAGGCTGCACCTGTCCGTCCCAGTAGAGGGTCCAGTGAAACTCTAGCCCAGGAGTCCCAGACAAAAGATCCGCCCCAGGTGCAGGTACAGGTGCAGGTACAGGTACAGGTACAGGGTACACCTCATATAGAGGCCCAAACCCCAATACAGCAATCTGAACAACAGGTAAAACAACAAGCCTCATCTCTATCTCAGGTTGAGGACCAGAGCCCAGCAGAGAAGCCTCCTGGGGAGTCTAGTGAGAAGCAATCTGAATCACAACCTCAGATTGAGACTCAGGGCCCGTCTCCAGGCTCCACTGACGTACAAACCCATCCTAAATCCATTAAAGCACAGCCTAAAACCTCTGCAGCTCGACGGGACACAAAAGAGCCAAAAGCACCACGTGGATCAGGAGAAGCGCATACCCGTCCAACCCGCCAGGCGTCATCTACCGCCAAACCTCAGTCTCAGGGCTCTCGTAGAAGTTCCAGTGAGACTCAGCCCCCTCACAAAGATGTCAGCGAGACACAATCACTACGTAGAGGCTCCAGCGAGACAGCTCAGCGTCGTAACTCAAGTGAAGCCCAGGCCTTACGTCGGGATGCTGGGGAGGCAGAGCCCTCTCGCAGAGGCTCCGGTGAGTCACCAACATCGCCTGCCGCTTTGGGCCATGTTGTAACCCGATTAACAGGGCTTCTGGGCGAGCAGTGGGCACAACTGGGGAGCAGCACTGGAACTCAACAGACGGCCAGCCAGCAGGAAAGCCCCAGCACACAGAAACAGACACCAGGGAAAAAAACAGAGGCAGCGAAGGGAGCAAAAACCAAGCCTGCGGGGAAGGCAGTCCCTGCAGCAACAACAGCGAAACCAGGAGGAAAGCCTGGTCCTTCCAAAATGAGCTCCATTCAAAGTCAACTGGTTAGCTCCCTCAGTGTCCTCTCTGCCTTCTACTCACCAGGCCAGAAAGCTGCTGCAGCCAGCAAACAGCAGGAACAAGGTAGGCCTGTGGTTCAGTTAGTAGCACATGGTTTATACTCTCTACACATTTGTTTATTTGTCTGTCTTAAACCTGCCTACCTATATGTAATCAACTCAATGAGCAGAATCAATTCCACATTCCGTATTCACAGAAATGATCCTCTCCTTCTCTCTTTGCCACATAATACAGTATAACATGTTCTTCAGATCAAGAAGTCTTACATCTTTATTAAAGTGTACAGCTTTGAATCTTAATTTTCTCTCCATGAAAAAAAGATACTCCAAAGAAGCAGCCAAACATTGCCACAATGGTATGACAGATGTTATGGACTTTCACAATGTATGTATTTCTTGCACAGTAGAAGCACAGACGCACAAACTCACAGGGAAGTACAAACAAGCACTCTCAAATGGACACTGAAGCACATCAAAGCGACAATGCCCATTCTGCCTCCCTTGATGTCTCACTGTTCAGTTTCTGGCCCAGGAGCTGAAGAACAGAATCACTCTGCTATCGCACATATTTTATATTCAGAGTTCAATTTAAGTTCAATCTTGGGAATACAATATACAAAAGTGGTTTGAAGTAGATTTTGAGCGAGCAGGACTAATTATGTTAAAGTAATATATTATATAGTAGTTAAAAGAAAACTCAGTGTTTAACTGTTTTCAAATATTAGAAAAAGAAACTTCTATTGTTGTGTAGAGCATTCTTACTTATCCCAGTCACCAGAGACTTAAGTTAACCTAAAGAGATTTGTATGAATGAGTTAAATATCTCAGCGTCTCTGACTAAAGGGATGTTAAACTACACCATTGTTTTATTTACAGTATTAGAGGATGGTAGGAGGATATATTAAAATGCAAAGAATGTTTTAAACTCTCCCTCCCACTGTGGCTATCTCCTCAGGGATACTGGATCTAAAAGCATTCTTCTTCCTAGATGGTGGTCTCTGGAATTCGTTCAGCTAGTGGTTTCTGGCTCAAAGCCACATCCTTATGTCCTTGCATAAAACATTAAAGTGCCTCTGCATCATGTCTCGCTGTCAGGAACAACTAAGACAGCAATACCGGGCTTAAAGCCAAGGGGAGTCAGCAAAGGAGCCCATGCAGCATCACTTACAGTATAGGGCAGTTATACACATTAGTAGGCCTGCCAATGTCAAGGTGGTATGTTGTCATAATGGCCTATAATCATCACCTGTGAACATCGCCTTGATCGCCGAGGTGCTGAATGTTTAAAAGCCAAAATGACTCCAATAGCCAGTCAATCTGATGAAGTTAATGTACTTGAACAAGTTCTTCAGAGTCTTGTTTTCAGTATGTCTCACTTGCATAATCCTTAAAAACTGAATGAACTCACATTAAAACACATTTTTATCAGGTATTCTGCAAGAAAAGTTATTTTGCTTAATTGTATGGTACTGTTCTCTCAAGTTGGTTTTATTGTTGTCTTGTGTAGAGTCTAAAGATTGGCCCCAAGCTACAATCTATGCCAACACATGGAATCTACACGATTTGTTCAGCTACAGTTACTTGTAATTGCATCCAGAGGTTCTTTAATATCATCCAGCCTCAAAAATGTTACACATACATTGCTTGTTTCTGTAAACACAGCCAACATGTGCAAACCATTATTGTCTGAAGTCTCATGAGCTACCAAAATCAGTTTGATATATTGCTTAAACGTAACCTTTAGACATTCTTATTTGATAGATAATGCCTTTATTTTGAAGCATCTAGCAAAGGCAGATCTGAAAAATTATAATACGAGTCACTGACAAAAAAAATACCGTCTTTTGAAGTATGAGAACATCTTAGTAATGATACAGAATGTGAATGTTCGGTCATCTTGGGCACACACGTAGACAACACACAAACACTAACATTCCACAAAGGCCTAATGAATTTTACCAACCACCCTCCCTCCCCTTTTCTTTCCATTTCTCTTTCCTCCTTTTCTCCAGGTCTAAAATCTATTATGAAGAAAAATGGTGTTGCTGACAAGCAGGGGAACAAGGGAGCGAAGAAAAACCTGAAGTTTGTTGGGGTGAATGGAGGGTAAAAACTTATTTTTAATCAGCGTCCAATCTCTCAGTTTGACTCGTTTTCTCTGTGTGTGACAAAGTGTTTCTTCTGCCTCTTTTGTGTGTCCATGAATGTTTCGTTACTTTTTGGTTTTTCTACAGGATAATTCCCTCAGGTATATTTTGTCAAAGTGGCTACATTCAGAATAGCCAGTAGACAGTGCAGTAATATAATTTAAGTATACACTTTTCTAAAAAGTCCTTTACAACAAGCTATATTATTGAAATGTATGTGCTTGACCTAAGACAGGCTGTGTCTCACACAGGCATCTGCTTCATGATGTCAGTTGTCAAAGCTAGCTTGAATACACACTTAACCTCACTGCTGCCTCCGGAAGTGTGAATGTTTGTTTGTGTATGAAAAGGTGTTGTACATTGTGATGTGTGTGCATATTTTTGTCAGTATTGATGATACCTCAGTTCTTGGTGCAAGCGTGCTTATGTCAGCGTTTGCTGATGCTGGATGCAGTGTGAGCATCCCCTCGTAAAAGCTGATGAATTTTAGGTAAGCAGGTAGTAGTGGTTGGAAGAACAAAGGTGTGTCTCAAAGCAGGGAGATTATTATTTATGGAAGCTTTGATAGTTAGCTGTCTGGTTTATAGTTAGAACATGAAGCACATGGATACACACAAACACAGACATGCATTGGTGGACTGTGTGAGGACAGACAGGAGTTCGCTGGATGATTACCATAACCTTAACTTTACCTGCTACATGTGTAATCGTAACCCTTAGCCTAAATCTTTAACCAAAACCAAGTCTAGTGCTAAAATAAAATTGGTTGCAGGGAACAGATTCAGGCACCAGTTGGCAAATGGGACTGTGCAGACATACTTTTTGTCCTTACTATGTTCATAAATGTGAATACCGACAAGACATACACAGCCAGCGAGCTAAACTCACACACTCACATTCAAACTAATAACCTCAGTTGTGTATTTTAGGTGTGTGTTATTTCTGTGTTGCTGCTCTTACATTCCTGAGCGTCACTGTTTTATGACCTGCTCGCCTTTGCTATGTTTTGTCAGAGCTGTGATGAGGTCTATTCCTTCCTCCCCATTTTAGAAAACGCTCTGCAAACATAACGGAAAAACCATTCACCAGAACCAGAACAAATGAATTTTAAATGTTATCATTTGTAAAGATTTGCTCAATAACATTGATATGTTATACAAGATTGTCTACATCTAGTTTGTCTCTTTTGAGTTTGTAACCCCCTTTACTGGATCTCTCTCCATTTGTTCCACATGTCAGACAACACTATTTTCTCTGACTATCTTTAGTCTTCTGCCCACAACAGGAAGTGGGCTGCTGTTTTTATTTCTTCTCTTTGGACGGTCTAACCTATCTTTGCTCTCCCTTGAGCTCCTGTGGAATCCAGGGAATGCTGTGGCCCCTGAACGCCTCATGTGGTGGGCTGTGTGTGTGTCTACAAATAAGCCTGAATCAGAGGCATTCAATATGAGACTTATCTGATCATTGGCCTCACAGAGGTTCCTTCATTATTCACCCCAATGATCACACACACCAACAACCACCCCCACAGCTCTAAATATATCATCAGCCTTTCCTCACTGAACAACGTTGGGTTTCTCCAAGGTTGATAAATGAGTGTGCAAACATGCCATTGGATTTTAATGTATACGTTTCACTGTGTGAGGGATGTTTTGGATATTTGGCCAAGGTTGCATTAGACAAGCTTGTTTTTCATGTCACGCTCCAGGTCTAGAGGGTAATGACCTGTTAGTATTTATCCAGCCTTGGCCTGTGTTGACTTTAATGCTCTCATATTAGTTTTACCTGCTGAGGTGTTTGTGATGTGGCTGCTACTGCACATGTTTGTTTTTTTGTACATACCTTTCAGTGCTGTAACACGAGCTAATGTTCAAGTCCATGTATAATATAGGATGGATAAATATTTTTCTAAAAATTATTTCACATTTTTTGCGAGGGCTATTTTTTGGTCACGAGATATCTATCACGATACATTGCAATAATGTAAACAAGTATCTGTCATAGTAAACTGTCATAGTATATAAACACACAACTATATGCATTAAAACCTGAGTACAATCAGAACAGTGGAATCTGCATTTGCCTTTATCACAGTCCCTGTAACATCATACTGTAGCAATAGTTTTTGTGCAATTTGGATATTTTCATGTAAACTGTTTAATCTAAAATTGATAGTATGTTTGAGAAGCAATACAGTATCACAACAACATAATATTGCAAAACTCAAATTGTATTAATTTGTGATTGTTGCTTTATCATTGCTGGTATAATATGGATGCTTTTGGTGTCTCTGAAAATGGTGTTGATGTCCACTTGTTTGTGTCCACCTCCAGATATGAGTCAACATCCAGCGAAGAGTCAAGTGGAGATGAGAAGTCGAAGGTGGAAGTGGAGGAGCAAGACAGCTCAGAACCAGAGGTAGAGAAGGAAAAGGAGACGGAGCCTCAGCCAGAAGAGAAGCCTGAAGAGGGAGCAGAGACCCAGCAGCAGGAAGCAGAGGTGGCCCCTGAGGGAGGGGGTGCAGTGGCTGCAGAGAAGGAGGCTGAAAAAGGCCTGCTGGATCCAGAGGGCAGTGAGGAGCTCCTGGGAGAACAGGAAGAAGGGTGAGACAGAAGAGCTTCACTTTGAGTGGTTTGTCAGAGTTTAAGTAAAGCTATGGAGCCTATACTGTACATGATACCACTGTAGGGCATGCTGTAGAGATACCACAGGGTACCCAATTAACTATGATTGGTCAGCATGGACTGCTTTCTGTTGATGGTATATGTTGTTGATAGTGAAAAATACATTAGGGCAAAAAGTCATCCATCTTTTTTCTGTAACACAAAGCAAACCAATCTGAACTGCAAATCTTCTTGTTACTATGATCCATGCTCTCCTTCACATTGGATAGAGAAAAGTAAACATGGAAACTTCAAAGAGTAGTCTCATATATTTAGAAATGGCAAAAGTGAGATCACTGTAGCGTATATCAAAGTGAATGAAAGTTCACAGTTATTGCGTCAAACAAAAAGCAGATAAAGCACAATACAGCCATAGAAAACGACGGTGTGACGTATGATGTCAGGGAAGGACAATAGGGTGCTTTGTTATCCAGCAACAGCACAGAGACTTGTCCGAGACAGGTGGTGAATGAAGCTTTAATATACAGTGGGCCCCACACACACACACACACACACACACACACACACACACACACACACACACACACACACACACACACACACACACACACACACACACACACACACACACACACACACACACACACACACACACACACACACACACACACACACACACACACACACACACACACACACACACACACACACACACACACACACACACACACACACACACACACAGTCATTACTACCTACACTTACAACCATGCTTATCTTTTGATAACTTGTAAAGACTAACTGCCACACTCTACACCAGGGGTGTCAAACTCAATTTCATCGCGGGCCACATTCGCATTATGGTTGCACTCAAAAGGGCCGGTTGTAACATTAAGACTATATAAAGATACATATATAAATATTTAATATATATATAATAATGTATTATATTACATTATTGCCTCTGCATTGGATTGTTATCGGATAGGGTAATAACTTCATAATTAACTAGGTTTGAAAGCAGAAGTCTATAGGCAAATAATTGCAAGTCTCTTCAGTGAGAATGTCACAAAATGATTTAAAAAGAAAAGCACATTCTGGAAAAAAAGTCAAAATAAAGAAAAGGGCATATTTTGAAGAGAAAAAGGGAAATTTGAGAAGCATTTTGCTACATGTATGGGCAACGTGCTTCTGTAAATCGCCATGTAACCATATAATAAACATATTATATTCTTTGCAAGCTCTTGTGGGCCACATTAAATGAAGTCGCGGGCCGGATTTGGCCCCCGGGCCTTGAGTTTGACACCCCTGCTCTACACCTTTGATTCATAAATATTCACGCTAAATACACCTGTTTCCACATACAGAAGGGCAAACCACAGGTATGGCTGGTGACTTTATATCTTTATATATCATTTTAGATATCGTATAGATTTTCCTATACAACTTCTATCGCTATATGTGAGGTCTTTATTCATTTGTCCTCTTTATAAAATGTCACTAATTTATGTTGACTAAGTAAGCAATGAGGTTTTTTTAAATGAGAAAATACTCAACTATTTAATTCACACTGGAATATATAAAAATAGTATTTTTCCATGTGGTTATTTACATAGACCATTTATTTATTGAATTAACAGAAAACGACCTAACCTACTTACATTACTATCAAGATATGAGATAACCTATGTTGTGATGGAAGATTTTGGCCATATCGCCCATCACTACGCACAAGCACACACAACTTCTCCGTCACAATGTAGTAAAAGCAGCTCTCACTCTTATAGAGGACTAAGACAGACACCCAGACAAGCTTAGTTCCCAAAAGGGCCAGGGGTCTGGTAATAAAAAAGCAAAACATCCAGCAGTGTTGTTCTCCCTGTCACTGACTGATCACTTATCAGTCTCAGGTATGTGGACAGAGCAGAGGGCTCCTGGGCCACACCGTAGATGGGGCCCCTGGGAGAAGGCAGGACTTATTAACTCATCACTCAGCTTATGTCTGATCATTCCTAAGCATGTGTGTTTATAAAAGAATGTGTGTTATTTCTGGAGTACAGTACACAGTGAGTGTGATCCACTCAGGCTTAGTGCAGCTTGACATGTACAGTATGAGCACCTGGTGGATCATATTTGGCAGTGAATCAGTGTTAACCGTTGAGGAGGTCTGCATGGACCATCAGTGTGTCAGAATGTTGACAGATGTGTGTGTACACTACACAGGCCTGCAAGGCATCTTTTATCTTTGTTTTTTTTATCCCAGACAGACTTTACACAAGAACCTAGGTAGCCGTCTCTTGGCCATATGTTTTTTTTTTATTTATTTAACCAGATAAAAACATTGAGATAAAATCTCATTTTCAATGCTGACCTGGCCAAGAAGGCAGCAACATTACACATAACACATAACACAAACATATAAAATACAGAAAACATAACTAAGAAAACAAAAGACGAAAAAGCAGTCACTACATTGTGCACATTAGGACAGTAAGAAAAGTGCACTACTTGTTACTGCAAGAGCAGCTGGTGGTGAGGACTTCAGACAACTTCAATTTAAAACATGCTATAGAGACATGTTATGAAGACTTGATGGTATTTCCACATGAAAGCTGAAAAAACAGTAAAGAAAACAATGGAAAGCACAGATGTGGAGTGTGCTGGGTTGTTTTTTCACTTCCAGATACTCCTGGTCAAATTGAAAGTTCTTTACTAAAATAATATTTACTTAGGATGGGAAAAAATACTTAATGTGGCGTCTGGTCTTTGTTTGCAGAGAGAAAGTAGAGCAAAGCTTCATAGATGCCTGCCTCTATGTAAAAGACCGCATGGAAGAGGTTTCATCCCCAGATAAAGAAATGGTAAGAGGATCTTTTGGCTGCTGCTTTTTTTGTTATAAAATGATTCTATATTCTTCATCAAATCTGATTTGACTGCATGTTTTTTGGTTATTGGTTATTGAGTTTCTTAGACCCTTATAACATGGATTTCTCTTGAGGGAAAATGCTTCAGTTTCATGGTTAAAGTTCTGCTATAGCTCTTTGACTTATTAGATTAAAAAGGCTTACAGTGCTGTTCCTCAGGCTGACAATGCACGCCACTCAATAGCCCACACCATAAAAAATGATGTTCAGGGAACAGTAACAATTCTGCCACAGGCGCCTTCTTCATTTATATATTTGTTTCTCTCTCTCCAGCGTCAGGTTTTAGTGGTGCTCTACCAGGAGTGGTTCAAGATTTCCAGTCAGAAAGATTCGCAAGCCGATACTGTCAGATTATACCTGCGACAAGTGGGCATGACCACACCAACTCTCCTGCCATATGTAGTTAACTTGACTGATGGCAATGGGAATATGGCCCTCCACTACAGTGTGTCACACTCAAACTTCCCTGTGGTCAAACTGCTGCTGGACACTGGTAAGATGCACACAATGACAGAAACACAATTTTAACAAAAGATAGTAGTATACAGTAGTCAGATGAGGCTGCTTAACTATGCACAAAATTGCACAAAATCCTCTTTATTTTGATCAAACATTGTGTTTGTGTGTGCTTCAGGTCTATGTGAGACAAACAATGTGAACAAGGCAGGCTATACTCCAGTGATGCTGGCTGCACTGACGGCTGCTGAGAGCCCTGATGACCTGGAGGTGGCACAACAACTGTTGAGACAGGGTGACGTCAATGCATGCTCTAGACAGGTAATCTATTATCTCGCACTGACTCATTGGGGTCCCAATATCAACGGTTCTTACTGTGTTGAGGTTTTATAGTTGTACGGGAAGTTGTTGTCAAGGCACAGTAAGCCTGGGAATTTCTAAAATACCCTGGGGAAATCAGTCCATGTTAGAACATTTTTTACAAGCAGATGACTTTATAGGAATACACAGAACAGAACAAAATGTATACATGGGATAAGAGCATATTTCCTGGATAGAAACACCCAAGTTTCCCTTAACCCTTATTTGTACCACTTTCTATTGGAATAATTTGTCTTTAGGAAAACGTTTTATTTTTAAATAACTTCTGTGATTATTTTTGGCCGTTTTTACTTGCATGCAGACTTATAGTCCAAGTACATACATATTGGTTCAATTTCAGAACACCTGAATATATTTAAATGTTCCACATTAACGTACGTTTCCTACATGTCCTCTTTATCTTCCTCTATTTCCTCCCTCATCTCCAACCCTGCATCTCTTTATCTCCCCCTTATAACTTCCATCTCACTGTTTAATTTGAATTCTCTGTATCGCTCACTTATTTTCCAGGCGGGCCAGACGGCCCTAATGCTTGCGGTGAGCCACGGCCGCGTTGCCATGGTGAAGCTGCTCCTGAGCTGCGGTACGGATGTAAATGCCCAGGATCGCGAGGGCTCCACGGCCCTGATGTGTGCCAGCGAACACGGACACACAAACATCGTTCGTATGCTGCTGGAGACGGGTCGCTGTGACATCAGCCTCATTGATAAGGTATGCTGCTGTTGAAATTACACAACCAGATTCTCATCCAAGATTGTTTGAAGGTATCAAAGGTGATATGCCTTCTGTATGTGTTCTCTCTTCTCTGACATACAAGACCTCCTTGAAATCATGTTCAGATTGCCCATGCTTTCTCTCCAGAATTTATATCCTGTATTTTTGTCCTCGAAGCGGTTTCTTTTATTTATTTTTTAAACGACATAAACCGAGGCATTTTTGTTTTTCGCACTTCACTGCACTCATGTTAAAGCCTTCAATCCCATGGGTTAGCTGTTGCCTTGCTGTGTCGGCAGGTTTAAAAATAATCAAAATGTTGCATCAAATCAGAAAGCAGCTCCATCCAGACCAAGTGTGCTTAATGACAGACACTATGTACATACAATACAAAGACAAAATTAAGAGGTTGTCTCTGTAGGCAAATGATGTCCTCAATGTGGTTTCACCTTTACCTCCCTAAGTAGCCATGTACAATTGATAGCAATTGAAGCCCATGAAGTAGCTCCGAAAACTGTCCTCTCGCTTCAAATGGCAACTTAAGGCTAGCTCCAAAAGGGAGCAATCTCCATATACCCCCATGTTAAAATGATCAACGTTACAGCAGAAATAACAATGTTTACAGCCTGGTAAACCAATGGTTTTGGTCTCTATAGCTATGTTTCCCCTTTAGTATAACTGTCCAGGGGTACATTTGAATATAACTCATCCATTTTAATTATATTAAGATTTAAAGTAAATAGCACCAGGGACGTGGTGGCTATGAGTGGCGTCTCAGACCGAAAGTAGCTTGAGTCTGCTCTTCTGCATCAACCTGGCCGGTACCAACTTCTTTGACAATTCCTATTTTTGGATTAGCACATAGTTAGACGGTGATGTACAGTATGCACCAAGATGGTCACTGTCAGAGCTGCCCAGTTATTAGGAAGGCCTAAGACTTCCTGTCAGTGCTGCTTTATGTGGACAGTAAAACATACTTAAGGGTGAATTATTTACTAAAACGCTAGTAATCAATGCTTACAGTACAGTAAATGGTCACATGGCCAAGGGCTGGCTCACACACTTTCAAATGTGTCTATATTTAGCTGCTCCTGCGGCCACTGTTAGGTGTCCAGTAAGGGTTTAGAGAATACAATAGCTGAAGCCTGGCCCACACATGGTAGATTGATTGTTATACCTAGCGCATTATTGATTTCTGTGGATGGTTGATTGTCCACTGCAGCCCGAATTGGCCGTCAGAGAACGGCCATATCACAACCTTTCCCTAACTCATCGTAAACAATCCAATAACCACTGCTGTTAACACTGATCCTGCTGTTTACTAAGCATTTCATAAGCTCGACCTCCACACCTGAATATAGCTGTTGGCTTTGATTCTTGTTCCAAAGGATGCAGATATTGTCACACCTTATACAACACAATATGTCGATGCTTCCAACACTACCGTACCATTGACGCATTTCTACAACACTTTTTCCAGTCCAAAACACCTCACCTAACTTAATTATCCCCATTCACTAGAAATCTGTAGTACAAACTATCTGTAGATTGTCAAACCTGGATTTGACTTCATCACATGGGTAATTGAGATTCATCTACCGTAAGCCATGTGCCTCTAGTGGGTTATGTACTGTGTGACTCCATGACAACACATAAATATGCACTATAATTGGAGCTGGTAGGGGGTAACATAATCTCAAAACAATTTTATATTATATGCATGACATTTCAAGCTGTTTTTGAGACAGGTTTGTCCAAACGTACACGACACTGCATTAACACCGTTTCGAGACATCTGTATTACAATGAGTCATGAGGTGTCTGTCAGTATGCAGCCTTGCCACGTCTAGTTTGCTGTCATTTCTAATATCAAGTATTTGATTAGAAGAATAAATACAATACGCAAGGACACACAGAGAGAATGATGCAGTTCGTTACAAACAGCTTTATAGAGCATTGACAGTTCACTCAGCACTGAAAACGGACTACTTTGTGTCTTAATTGAAGTATCAGTATCCATCACACAACCCATCTCAAACTAGCATATACAGAGATGGATTTGGCATTCTCTGCCAGTAGATCATGGTTTGCTCCGTAAGTAATGAGAAGGATTAGTTTCATGAGACAGCTAAAAATGTGTCAGCTGTTAATCAATACATCTTTGAATATAAACGAACAAATCAAAACTTGAGTGTCCAATTATTAATAAGAGCATTACAACTAAAAGCATCAATGTGATTAGCAATAGATATACTATGTAATGGCTTAAGCCAAACAATTCTTTAATTGGTCGTTTAGCTTTTAAAAATGTGTTTTTAGTGCCAGTATTCATATTGCTGCTGTATAGAAGATTTAGATTGTATTTACATTATATTTTTCTATTTGTTCTTTGATGTCTTGCATGCCTTCCGACATTATTCCCCCATTTTCCCCTCATTATATTCTGCATAACCCCACCCAGGCTTACTATATAACCCTGGACAATTACACAGGCAATTTCTGCATGAAGCTAAGAAGCTTTGCAGCAGATTATTATGATCTTTGCTGCACATTTTGGTGTGTAATTTCTGGAAAAGATAATTAGATCAGATTGAGAGAAACGTGACAAATCATTCCTTCATCTGGTGTATCCACAAGAGAAACATTCAAAACTTATTTCCACATACTGAACACAGCTTTTCAAATGATACAGTGTAGCATCGCCTGCATTAGGGTGCAGAATATACGCATGTACTATAATAATAAGTTGTCAGAGGAAGAGCAACACAACACTGCCACTGTCAGGATAAGAAGAGTCACTACAATGATCGTTGATGTGAAACTGTAAAATGTTCTCGTTTTTTCCCCCTCAGAATCGACAGTCAGCACTGTCTGTGGCAGAAGCAGCCTCCCACCAAGAGATAGTTGATCTGCTGAAGACCCACGCTGAGACCCGGGCCTCTGAGCCCTCGACTAACGCAGACCTCCTCTGAGCCAACACTGTTTACGTCTCCAAACCACCAAGGCCTCCCGACCCCCAAACCTTCAATTTACAAAACCCACCAACCAAGACAGAAAAGGTTGGATTGAAGTTGGTAACACCTTACAATACAGTTTACTGTGGAACTACATTTAAACCTCTGAGACTGGAGTGTCCAACAATGGGCAGACATATTTTTCTTCCACATCTCTGCCAACATGCCCCGTGGGTCTTTATGGATATGCTGCATTAACCACTCAGTGGATGGACAACAAACGCGGCCCGGTTGAATAGATGTTAAGCCGCTGCCATGGTGACAAGTGTGATTGACAAGTAGAGACGGCAAGAAGATAAAGTGGGAGCAGGGATGGACGGACTGGCAAGAGATATTCTGAAAAACTTGCTGCTTCTTATCATCAACTAGCTCATCAAGCTAAATGCTATAAGCACATGATCTACCTTTCAAATATATTATATATGACATTATTTCTATTTTTTTCCTTCGTGACATTGACATCATTCTTTCCATAATTGGACATAAGCCATTATGAGAACATAGTATACGTATAATGTTATTCTAAACAGATTATAAATCATAAACAAACACAGAAACTGTATTTTCTACTGCACTTTTTTATTGTTATTATTATTGTGTACAGTTAATAGTCCTCAATATTATTAGTATCGGTGTCCACAAGAAAGTATATATCTCCAAAAGTGTATCTGTATAATAGTATAGAACTCATGGTGAAATTTCCTATCATTCAGTGGATATTTAACAATATTTAATGTATTGTTTTTGCCATAGTATTGATGTTTTTCACATACGGGACATGGGTGTTCGTCATGTGTGAATTTTTTTAATACAAATGGTTTAGATGGAGATGGAATGACACAAAATAAATGATTTTTTTATAACCACAATATAACCAGATTTAAGAAAGACAAAAGTCTTCTAATGCGAAGATTGTTCTGTTCGGAAGGTGCTGCATGCCAATACACAGTTACTCCCCCTACTGGCTGTCTTAAAGTACTAAACAACAGTATGTTGTAATACTGTCTGTTCCCATGACCGACATCTCTCTCTTTCTGCGTCCCTCAGTACAAATATAATATGTCTTGTTCGCCTGCTCGTTTAAAATCAAATCTTGTATGCAACTGCTACAAAATGCACAATGAATGTCAGGCTGGCTGTGATACATTCCAAGAAAACAATGTAGCAAGTCTAACTATACCGGCATGGACCATGGGACTAACAGAGAAACCGACTGTCAGTTCAGACATAGGAATGAGTCTGAATATCTTTTACCATGCGCGACTACAGACACTTAATCTCTTAAAGTAAGTACAAAAGATCTGCCTGTCTTCAAGTTACTCACACTGGTTCATTTTGTTCCTGCCTCATATTTGAATGGGTTGTTAAAGGCTTGCAGTCCTAAAAGAAGCAATATGTATGAAATACTATTTTTTAAATTAAAAGAGGGGAGTGACTTCGGTCTAGCCTTAATCAGAAGACCATCCTACATTTTAGAGATAAGATGTGTTCCAGGGAGTGTTTTCTTTTGTTTCTGTTCTCCACCAACCTACACCCATATTTCTAAAGTATCTTAATATACAGTCGTACTGGTCTGAGAAAATGTTTACAACCTAAGAGTTCCCCTTCAGTGACCCCTACAGGAAACCCCCAAATGTTCAGCAGTTCTGGAGATTACCATACCATATCATTGTGTTTTGAACACAAGCACTTTCGTAAAGTGAGGGAACTCCAAAAGACACTGGATAATGCACCAATTACCATAATGCTACAAGTGGTATTATGTTTGACCCTCCCTGTCTGCCTGAATCTTTCATACTCCATACCCCAAGTTTGTAACACCCTAATGCCATTGTCTGGGTTACTTAATCTGATTTTACAAACCCACCAGAAAACGGTTGTTTCTGTTTGCCTGGGGATTGCTGGGGTTACTTAAGGTGGAATTTAAAAGGGAAATACCACTCATTATAACAACTGCCAAATGGTCAATAACAGTCCAGTCTGCATTTACAGTACAGTCAGAAAATAAATCATATTCCACAGAAGCAAGATTGTGGTCCAAGACTTGGATCACATTAAAAAGACTCTTCAGTATCTGTGTCTGACAACTCAAACAGCTTGGCTCTTAATACTTTTAGAAAGATGGATTCCAAATACATTGCTTTGCTTCAGTCATAATACATTTATATTACCATGAATACAGTATGTAGGGCGGATTTAACAACTTTCTTTCTGAGCTGCGGTGTGATCAGACCACTGAAACGTTATTAATATGGGTGCTAATATGGGAGTAGGTATAATAATACATTGACATGAAGATATATTTATTTCATGAAGAACATTGATTACATAGAAGTAAATGGCCACAATTGAGAATGTTGGGGCTTAGCGATCAGATCATTGTTGAGTCACAAAGTAGCACAGATTTGCTCAACAATGATGCTGCATTTACACAGGATCAGAGAACATTTATTTTAAATTAATTCAGCACATTAAGGGAAAGAAATTAGAGTCTGTGTAGCTTCCCTTATGTCACAGAGCTAAAGGATGATCCGATCTGTGCTGTGGGAAATATCTGTTACATCTGGTCTTCCGTGCCTGTGTATTAAGTCTTTAAACAAATCATGTCGTCCATATGTTTAATCCAGTGTGACCCAGATGTTATTTGGTTTCATAGTTGGCCAAACACCAAAGAAGTGAAATCAAATCTGTTCCACATGGGGTTAAATATATAGTTTCTGTTCCTGTAACTGTACCCAAATACATGTACATACAGTATCGTGAAAAATATATAACAAGTATTGTCTGACAGTTTGCTCTAAAAATTATATAAGTATTTATTCCAAATGCTATATTTTTTACCGTATATAGTATACTTATGTATGCATGGACAAATATTCCAGTGATACTGTTGGAGGGGAATTTGAATGATTGAAAATGATGCTGGGTGTTCCCTCATGATGTGATTATACAGCTTATCTTTGACTGGTTGGGTGGTATTGTACATGTGCGGTGTTGACAAGGTTGTGGACTGTGTCATGTGCCCTTTATTGCTACATTTAAAATTTGTGGGGAAATTATAAAACAGATTAACACTGGCTAAAAGTTAAAAGGGCAAAGTCTCCCTTGTTTGGGTAAGTCTATGTACATGACAGGGTCAAGATTTAAAAACCTGTACCTCTCTGTAAAGTTCCTTGTACAACGGGCTTATATGTTGCGAACCAGAGAACTACTCTGGAATAAATATGAAGATTAAAAACTTGTTTCATGTTCTCGATTATTTCCAACAAATAATAGCAGCTACTGATAAGTTTAGATGTGTTTATTTGCTTGTTTTTTGCCTTTATTTTCAGTTATGCAATCAGTTTGGATGTGCAAAAAATGAACTGAACTGTTTCTAATACAAAAACTACATTTCAGACAATCCAATTTACTAAACCTTGTTTCATTATATCTGGGAACCTCAATGGCAGATAAATATTAGCATGCAGGCACATTTCTGTGTGAGATGGTAAGATCAGGTTGCATTACATTAATTATTTTCAGCTTAACAAGGGAAAGACAGAACCAAATAGTGCAGCTTTTCCATCACACACATCAAGAATGTTTGAGAATTCTAAATTTGATGAATATCAAATAAACTAAATTGATGGATATATTTTGATGTGCGTAATCTCATCTCATGACTGATGTGAGTGCAACTATATGATAATGCTTTATCTTTAAAGCAGTTTTCTGAATGCAGTTATCCATGTTAACATGCTGCTGTAACATTGTTTTCTTTTTACTTTGGGATTTATAAAGTATATTTAATCTAATGTTTGGCTCTCAGCTCCAACGCCATGATATGATGTAATAAGAAACAGTGGCCAGCAGATGGTGGTATTGCAGTGTGGTAAGAACACTAACTGAGGGATTTTCAGGACTTGGATAATTGAAAATGGTCTCACGCCTTCCTAAAGGAGGATTGTTTCTCAGGCAGAAATGTATAAACAACACAACACAAAGGCTCTTACTTAATCACTGGAGGAAGAAATAATATTTCTTAGTATGCATGTATATTACATATTTAATAACAAGTAAAAGTCCAGAAGTCCTGGCAAAGATATTACATAAGGAAAGTAAAAGTTGGCTACTGAAATGCAGAATATCGGTGTCAGTCAGTTCAACTAGAACATTGCAATCAAGTTTAAGTACTAATACTTTAAAGAACGTTTTCTTAAGTAGGCCTACATTTTGAAGTACCTAACCGATTTAAATAAAAGTGTAGGGAGGCGTGTGGCGCAGTGGATAGAGCCTTGGTGTTTGGATCAGGGGGTCACAGGTTCACACCCCACTGCATGTCGTTGTGTCCCTGGGCAAGACACTTCACCCCAAGTTGCTCCTGTGGGGATTGTCCACACTATTGAGTATGTAAGTTGCTTTGGATAAAAGCGTCTAACAAGTAACATGTAATGTAATGTAGAAAAATTGGTCTATTAAAATATACTCTGCAAATACTTGTATTGAAGACCATATTTAGGCTACATAAAAGGAATACCATGGTGAAGTTAGTTTTGGTTTTTGATATTCGACAGACATATATATATATAAAACCTATATATATATATATGTTTTATTCTTATTAATACACAGGATAAACACACACATCCACAGTTGAGCCAAATAAACAGTGGGATGTTGCTCAGTCCGAAGCTAAGAATCCTTTGTCACTGTTATGATCGTATAGTGGTAAGATTTTTCTTAAGAAAAAAGATTCTAAATAAAAATGTAAAGAAAACCAAAAACAACAATTACAAACAAACAAACAAACAATTTGGTTTGTAATTGCGAGTTACAATAAAGATTAACTAAAGTAAGTAGCGCTACCTACATGAACAGTACTCACAGGTTAAGCTAATATTTACAATTGTGTTTAAATTAAAGCTATGCTGCCATCTTGTGATAACTACAAAATATAGCAGTCATATTTAATACACATAAATTACAGCTCAATAAAACAAGCTCAAAGTAAACATACCTGTAATACACGGGACAAACACACAGTTGAGCCACATAAACAGTGGGATGTTGCTCAGTCTGCAAAGCAAAGTTCCACATCAGTGACGTACATGCTTCGTGCACTCCTTAGGCGCTTTCACACCGGAGTACTTTTCCCAGAAATAGTTCCGATAGTTCCTGGGATTCTGCGTTCATGCCAAAAATATCTGGAACTAGAACTTTTTTTTGCGAACCTTTCCACCCCTTTTTAGTCTCTGCTAGAGAGCAGGGACTTTCCTGGGGAGAAAAAGGTTCCAATTTCCACGCCCCGTAAAACTCTGAAAAGATTTTGTGAAGCCGCCATTTTATTTGCTTTATTAGCATTATTAGCATTAGCCCAGCGCATCAACGGAGAGAGACTAACTTATGGCAACACAAAATAAAATGTGGGATCGGTGGAGTGATCTGGAGGTGTCGGCGCTTCTGGCGATTTACCGGGGCTTCGGGTGGCGATTTACTGCCACCCAAAGTCCCGGACTCCGGGACTTCGGGTGGCAGTAAATCAACCAGAAGAAAAGATAAAACTCAATTGAAGAAAATTGAAGACAATGAAAAAAGTTTGTGGACAAAAGAATGATTAGGCTACCTCCTCACCTTTTGACGCAAAGTCCTCCACATCTGCACCAGTGTCTCTGCTTCTTCATTATCAAATTACAATAGTCCACTTTGTCCCACCTTACTCCTCACATTCTAAAGGTGTTGAGCTGAAAGACTCTCTCGCAGTCAATAGAGTAAGGAAGGTTTAATTACAAGTTTCTCAGTGAACGCAGAAGTCACTGCTAGAAGATCCAATAAGAACACATTAGCAATTAGCCACCCAGAATGCACCTGTTCATAACAGCTTGGGTGTGTTTGATTTTGGCCACTTGGCATGCTGGTTGAGTGGTGCAATTAAATCAATGATTAATTTAGGTAGATGCAACGTTTTTTTTAACTGAAAGACCTAAGGTTAGATACAAGAACAAGGGCACAATTTGTATTTGTTAAATTATTAGGCTAAATGTTATGTGTTATTTGGAAATGTCCTTCTCACACCGCTTATATTTGCTCATTTGAGTTTGTTATCCATTGGATACAACACCATAGTAGAAGGTTCAGCAAGTATGAGCATAATGAAAATAAGATTTAAAGCAACACTGTTTTTAATTTACATGGTAATAAGATAATCTAGATGACACAAATGACAAATGTTTCTGAATGAACATGCAGTATGAACATGTTCTTCTCTAAAAGGACTAACTTCTCTACGTGCAGCTTTGGTATCCAACATATTGGATAATTAAGAGTGCCTATCATTAAATAACCTTGATCATTATGACACGTTAACGGCTTGATTTCCTTCGGGACTATATCTGCTCTGAAACACCTTCTATCAATAAGCTTTATATCCTTCTTTCTCAATCATTTCCTTTGTTCTGGTAGTTGCCTGCGCATATTGAGGACTCAGTTTCACTGATTTTTATCTAATTAATTAAAGTTGTAATGTTGTCCCTGTGATTGCTTAATGACTGTCATGGATTTGTCATCACTTATAGAAATATACCAAGTATTTCAGTCGAATTTTAAAGGTGATTTTCATTTTTATACTAGGGAATACAGTAGCTTTGTGCTCTTGTGAGATTCGGTTTTGTGAGGAAATAAAGAGGCTTTAGAAAGAATTATAAATATCAAATCTATCAAGGACTCCCTGACATGGCTTGAAGTGACTTAAAAGGTGCCAGCTGTTAAGAACATATTAAAGTTTATACTGTGCGGTTTATTATCAAAGGTAGTTTTTATAGTCTTAAAATCTGCCTGTTTCTTTACATTCCTTTATCATTCATACCAAAGAGTGATCATGCCAGATGCAGCCATATGACACTAAAACACACGTAGAGCAAATAGAGCTGAAAAGGACCTGCTACTGTTAACCAGGGATATTTAAAAATAGAAGTATGTCTATGGATTATTTTTAGGGGTAACAGCACACACGGTTTATTGTTTTTATGTTTCATTATAAACACACGACCCCCACACACATAATATTTTATATAAATAAATAAATATTGGAATCATTTGATTGATTTAAGCAGACTGGAAATTCATTTTTCTCGCAGGAAACAGATGGCCGTTAATCACAAACTGAGAAGAGAGTGATTTGCTCTTAACTGAAGTGGATGATGTGTTCGTGCTGTTTTTGAGTTGTTCCGGCTGCAGTAATTACATAAACACACAATACACACTGGTGTGCTTGTACACGCATTAATACTGTATGTGGACACACAAACACACACATACATAGTCAGGCATATTTGTAATTCTCTTTGCACACTCTCTTACCATACTCTGAGGATTGTATAGAGGAAATGATAATGAGTAAAAATTCAGTTTTTCTCTAATCACTACTGTTTGGAAGCCAGGGGAATGTAAAGATGAAGGCTTAATATGCGGTTTCCAATATCTGTATTTGTACGTGTGAACCCACCACCTGTCCCAGCAGGTACAAACATGAATTTAATTAATTACTCAAACATATGCATAAATAACATCTGCAGCACAAAGGGAGGAGCTATTTGTTGTGCTGTTCTAGTGTAATTGCACCTTGCACATGTTTACGTCCCTGTAGCTGGCTGCCTCTGTGTGCCACATACACCATTTAGGAAGGGAATAAGCCCATCACTGGAGCTCTGAATGCGTCGGTGAAGATGGCAGCATTGTCTTTTGGCTCCTCTCCAACTTTTCCCTTTTTCGTATTTTGTTTGTTTTTATTTACTTTTTGCCGTTTGCTTTAACATGGTTCGCAACATGCAAGCCGACCGCACCAACTCTGCTATACAATATAGCAGAGAGGAACTTCTGCATATCAGAAACTTTGTGGACAATAACCCACCGACAGACAATGGAGATCCGCCATGGCTACCTGTTGCTGTCCTACCTGAGAGACGCAGGAGGAAGACAAAGCAGGGGTCCCGTGCCGGGCTGCTGGTCAGACTGAGGAAACGAGAGAATCGACCCCCTCTTCCGAGTATTCTTCTGGCTAATGTTCAATCCATTGAAAATAAGCTAGATGAACTCAGAAGTCGGATTGCTTTTCAACAGGACATTAAGAACTGTAACGTGTTCATTCTCACTGAGACTTGGCTCAACCCCGCTATCCCGGACTCCACCATTGTTCCTGACGGATTCACAATTTTTCGCCAGGACCGGACAGTTAACTCGGGGAAAAGTAAAGGTGGCGGTGTG